CAAGCTGAGGATTCTTCCAAGCTCCAAAGGCAATACAGGCCGGGATGGTAGCAAAGGGTCTGCCATTGACGGTTTGCTGCAGGCATTGGGGAGAGAGTGTAGGGCTTGCGGCGCAGGGCTTAAGTATACTTTCAGATTTAAACAGTTAGGCCGCCTAGGCCTACTCACATCCCTTGAGAATTCCCCATGCTAGGAACCTTCACATTCAGTGCAGCAGGCTCTGCTGCTCGCAATGCTTCGCCGGGGTCCCGGTCGCTGAGTCCCTGGAGCCGGCGAGGAGGCCCCTGTCGCGAGCAAAAGCGGAACTAGGCATCAAAATTAAGGCCTGTAGTTCGATGCCCTTCAGGGCCTTCAGGTGGTGAAGTGAGCGGCAAAGTCATGAGTTGGGGGTTGTTTGGCGCTTATCAGGCTTGGGGGCTGGTGGGAGGGGAGGATTCAGCAGGTTCATCAGGCGTTAACGAGCATTGAAGCAGTAAGGTTCCGGAATTCTGGGGGCTGCTACTCACCTGAAAGACTATACCGGGGTAGTCTTGCTCCCTATATATTCCTTATAAAGCCATCAACATTTAGTTTTTATAGGGCCCCCAAACCTATCCCTAGATAGGGATTAAAGATGAGACTGGTCAGCTCTAGTTGTTGTGCCCTCTAGTAAAGTCAAGTCCGACTTGCTTTGACATCAGTTGTTGGCAAAGCAGCGCTGCCACACAGGCAGTGCGCTTGCCTTTGAAGGGACAGGTTTAGGATCCAGCGGTTTATCTCTCAAATTTCAAAACGAGATGATTTCTGAGGTGCACTGGGCATGCACCTACAAGGACGACGTTGCCCAAGGATTAACATGATAACCCTTGGGTTCATGGCTTCTTAGTACTCTTTGGATTGGAGCTACTTGCAGTCCTTGCTCCTGCAGGCAAACCGACGGTGCAACGGCTTCAGTCGCCGAGGCCTGCAATCCCAGTCTGGGTTTGTTGTTCAGTGTTTTAGACTGCACCTTGCGGGGAACCGGCAGGATTTACAGTTACTGGAGGCGACAGTCTTCAGAGCATCTGTGCGTGCTTCTTTTGCCCGCTCTGCTGCTCGGTGCCAAAGACGATGGACTTTCTTGGGGCACTTGTCCTTTAAACTCTGGAGAGAGCAGAGACAAAGAAATTGTGACAGCGCGAGTTTCCTATACGAATATGAACCCGGGCGCGTGGACAGGGTGCAACCATAGGCCGACAGCATGCGAGGACGTAGACAGGTTAGAGCACACCCAAAAGGAACACAAGAATAAGGTATTATGCCGATAGGGAATTGTGGGAGAAAGGTATGGAATCGGTCAAAAGTGACGGAAATTCAGCGCGACCGGGGAATACTGAAGCGATTGACTGCAGTGGAGCCCTGGATTGTTGGTTACACCCACATAAGTGCAATGTACTTGCATGCAATTAAAATTGTTCCTGCAAGCGAGTAATTTCGGACTACTTAGTTCTCTGCATCGAGCACCCATTCGAGGAAAGAGTGCAAGTGGTCACGGACATAGAACCCTCTAGAATTCTGTGTGTCCAAACATCCTGAAAGGGAGCAGCCTAGTAAGTGTTTTTTCTGAAGTAAGGGAATTCAGTTTGTCCTGAAAAGGGTTGACATGGCGGATGTGCGAGACCTGTCGTTTAGGTAGAGGCTGGGGATGTGCTATGGGGGAGAGGATTCGGGGAGAGAGAAGCCGGTGGGAGAGCTCGACACGCAGACGCGAAGTCTTCCTTGCCGAGTATTCCGATGTCTGTTTGGATAGGGTATCGTGCTAGGGGGCTGATCCCCAGCGTTCCTTAGAGACTGCATGAAGCAGATAGAAGAAGAAAAAGAGAACGAACCTACCCATATACGCTGGTAAAAGGCATCCAAAATTCCAACATTCCAACAATCCTCCCATGAGGTGCCAGAAACCTTATTCAGAAAACGGTCCATGCAGGCTGAAACAAGCAGGAAAAAGGAAAACAAAAACATGTTCAATTGAATTGAAAATCCCGCACAGGCCCTAGGGCCCTGCTCATCATGCAAGCCACGTTCCCTGGAGAGACCCGAGATCTTATTCTCAAAGACCCATAAAATCAATCTGCGACCTAGAAATTTCAGGGGGTCCTCAATGTGATAGGCAAGCCCTCCTCAAGCCCGTAAATCCTCCACCCCAATAGAAAAGCCAGGCCAAACCCTTTCGGAGATTTTGCTACAGCGGATCGACCTGGATGGAAATCCTCCTGTCAAATGAACATTCTTAAGAATTTCATGAAATTTTCCACAGCCCTACATCCACAGATAAAGCAAGAAGCCTTGTCCAGAAAGACATCGTCCAAAGATTTGTGACTGTCAGGGCTGCACTACGCCGGAGTGGCAGCGGCTGCGGTGCGTCGGCAACGATTCCGGCCGAGAGCTCGACAGATAGATGTTCACGGTAAAGGGTTCCCTTGGTACATGCCCGGTTAATTATATGAAGCTTTAAGCTTTCATATGAGTTGCGAGAGTCCATCATGGTAAATCTCGTCACGATATTGACAGAATTGGTGTAGATTGTGTATGGATATGCTTATGGCTGCGTGTGGATGGTTTGTGCTTTGTTTTGCCCCATCTTTTGCAATTAGGACCCCTGGGCAGCCGGAGGGATGTTCCCTCCTACTGTACCTTCCTGGGATGACAGAACAGAACTACCCGCGTGTCTCTTATGGATACAGCTGTTGATGGATGTAGGCCAGTGATAACAAGAAACTGAAAGAAGAGGTTTTGCTAAATTCTTCCATATGGGGTATAGTACTGCTTGCGTCTCTCGTGCTCTCTACTCAGTGCCGGGTACGTCCCCTGAAGCAGACCCTTTACCCTCGACCACTTCCTGGAGCTTTCAAGTATGAGTCTGAGTGTGCTTCGTGCGTGGTCTTCTCAATTTTTGGCTGGGGCATGGATTCAAAGGATTTGAATCTTGTAGAGACAGAAGCCGCAGGCAGACGCGCCCCAAAACGTTTGATGTGCCGCGTGCTTGCGCTGGGCATGCATGATAGCCTGTGCGAAATGGCCAGAAATGCTTTGCCCTCTTCCCAACCCTCACTATGAATACAAAGGTCATCATCGTCAGCAACTGCAGTCTTCGTTTGCCACGATACCTTCTCGTCTTTGAACCTGAAACTTTGCAGGCCTTCGACTGCCCAAACCCTGAGACATGAGCGGAAGCTCCACAATTCCTGGCTAAACCCTACCAGTACAGCAAACCCACCTTGCCTCAAAGGTGTCACAGCCGCCTTGCCCTCAGCTGTTTTTGTGTTTTTTTGGCGAATTGGAAGTTCTTTTCAGGCATGCAAGTTTTCAAGGTGTATCAATATGGGTTCACGTACTCGATTGGGAGCACCACATCTTGGGACCTGAGTGCGGAATTCTCATGACCTGCCTTCTGATGTGGTTGTTGTTCATGCCGCGCTCAAGTGGCAAAGTAGCTCCCACAAGCCCCCAGATCTATAGAGCCCTGTGCCCGGCAGTTAGTTTCGTGTCGCTAGAGTTAGGCCAGGTCCGGCATCATGAGGAGCAAATTCCCAGCTTAGCTTTGCACGCAGCTGTTGCTCGGGGAGCACTTGTCAGCAATTCAGCTCCCTTGTTGGATTGGTGGTTGTTTTGGAAATTAGGACGTTGGACTTGATGAGCGCGCATGCAGGCAGGAAACAGGCTCTGAACTTCGAGGAACGAGGGCTAGCTGCCTCGTCGCGCGCATTGAAACGTTGCATGGAGGTTTTACACTACGAGGGCCCCTAATGCTCCGTCCGCTGCTCCCATACTGTATAAGCTTCACTGAATAGTTTGATCTTGCTAAGCGCCGTTGCAACCTGTTCATTTTTCCACATCCCAACACTGTGCTTTACATTTGTGTATTCCTTTCTGTCCACTGGAATTTGCATGGCATTAGTTAGATTTCTCACAAACAAGTGTTCTCAGGGTTGAGAAATTTAGAAGTCTTTCTGCGCGTCAGGGACGGAGCGGCACCGTCTTCGACTGCCGCGACGGCGCCAGCTCTGGTGTCAAGATTTGAAGCTTGGGACTGCGGGAGTTGTTGAGGATTAAGCGCTTGAGTGTACAGGAGCGTCAGGAGTCGCGGCTTCGCTTTCGAATCCAACATTGGTGGGGTGCATTCTAAAGGGTATCGATCTGTGAAGGGAAAAAGCGCAAGGCCTGGCATGGAGCCAGACGTTGCTCTTGGAGGCTAAAAGATTCACCATTTCGTTGAGGGCAGGCAAGTCTGTATGTAAAGGTCGGGCTCAGCGTTTAGAGGTGCAATAATAGAAAGAGCAAGTCAGTTTTCGCGTCAACCTCTGCTGGAGAGCACACCCTCCACAAGAATGTGAATGTAGTTCATGTGGTCCTGCAGTCAGTGTATGAGAGGCCTTCTACAGAAGTCTGGGGTCTAGGTCGGCAGCGCAATGAGGATCTGAAATGGCATTTTGGGTTGTAACATTATGGGCTATAGGTCAGCAAAAAGGATAGGCAGAGCCAGCAGGGAGGACACACCCAAAACCCACAGTTTGCCTATGGAATCGCGTTTGGCTTGGTAGGCGCCTCCGGGCGTTTTAGCGCGGGGACTCAGAAGCAAACTGTGGCTGCCCTTTGGGCTTGCACGCCTTGAAGCCTGAACCCTTTCCTCCGTCTGTGCTCAGAAGTATCACAGTTCGAGAATCAAAAGGTTGGCAGGTATCCCGGTTGGCTAGCGACTTTTGCAGACCACCAGCACGTGTGGGACATTGGCATGATGTCAGGGCGAGCTGTGTATGTTTGGCTTATTTGTGAGCTGCAAGCCCTAGGCAGGCAACCCCAGAAGCCTGAGCATCTTGAACTGACAAGAGCACCGATGCCATACTTGGCTGTAGCTGCAGACAGAGAACTGTATCTGCTCGGCGCTCGTCCAAATCATACAAAATTCACATGGAGGGATATTGTTAGTTCATTCACAAACACGCGTTTTCAGACATGATGTCGACTTGCACTGCAAGACACTTATGAGCACGCTTGGATCCCGGAAGATGCAGGTCTTAGAACATGAGTATGTTTTGCTTACGCTCTTCCATCAATCTCAGTCGAAATTGACCCGTAACATCCTTTCAGAAAAAACTGCAGAGACCCTGCATCGCGACAACGATTCCATGCCACCAGTACCTGGTGCATCGTGCCTTTTCATGTCCTCATGCCCCTCTCAGAGCCTTGTGGCCAAGGAGAGGGAGCTCGGCAACCTCCGGAAGGTGGATCGCGAGGCCAGATTGGGTGAAGCGTTTGGGGAAAGTTCTTGTTTGAAACTGCAGCGGCGCTTCAGTTTAGGGACCTGTCTAAATGTTGCACGCGAACACAAAGGCTGGGCATAGAGATGGTCAGCGAGTTCTTGCGAGTAGCTGAGTGCCGTTATGAAAGCACCAACCATGAGGGCCTCGAAAAACCGTGCGTCCTGTTAGCCCTAAGCAAAAACCCGGTCGAACAGTAGATCAGAATGGCACGAATCACAATAGTACAGCACTTCAACAGCTTTAGTAGTCGCAACCCCTTTAACAAGAAGTGCGCCCTGATTGCAAGGATCTCCGCTCTGAGAATGCTCGGCTCCTGAACCAGCTCGCGAAGGCTGGGCCTTGATCGCCACAGGGCCCTGGCCGCCCTGATCAGGGTCTTGTAAATTGACTCTAGAATACAGCGGGTGTCTCCTGGGAAGATGAGGACTCTAGTTGATGCGTTGCTGTCATGAATACGTCTTAAAAGCTTGAGGCCCCCCGTTTTTCAAGTTTGGGCTTTACCGGTGACGGTGCCCGACGATGGGGGGGGGGGTGGGTGTAGAACGATATGACTCTGCCAGCAATCTGCGCAGCTTTGGTTCGAGGCCTGTCTGCGGCATGGAAGACCCATCTTGAAGCTGCTTGGGTTTTCTGACTTTGTGTATTCAGGTCTGAGGGCCTCTGCAGTTGAGCTTAGGAGTTGGGGTTTTGGCTTTGTAGTAAGGAGAGTTTGAGGATTTTGTCATTTCATTTTCTGGGACTGAAATCAAAAGGAGGTTCAAGGCGTACCCAAAAGAACATCAAGGTCCTCAAGTTTGCTGTTTGCTATGGATCTGTGTGCGCTGCGCGCGGTTCCTGGGTGAAGACCAGGCGCGGAATACCGTGACCACGCTGCGAAAACAGCTCGAGGAGTCAAATGCGCGGAGCTTGGGCGGTATGGGAACCTTAGATGGGTTTGACGCATATGTTTGCGTTATGTTTGCGTTCTTGCAGTTCCAAGGTTTCAGGGATGTCGGGGCTGTGGGGGAAACCTGAGAACACACAGAGTTGGCGCGAAGTTAGGACCCGGAAAAGGTGATGCTATGTTCAGACCGAAGTAAGAAAGTTTTTCTGTGGCGACGGAGGGCAGGAGAGGAGTCTCCCAGCAATACTGCGGTTTCTTGAAGGGCTCCCACGACATGTTTTTTCTTGCCGGCTAGTCCCCTTGAAGAAACCCCTTGGAAGCCTCTATCTGAACATTGCAATGTCTCCAAAAAAGCGGTTCGAAATAATCTTCCACAGCCCAGGCCGCGCGCGACCGGGAAAGGCCTCGTTCATCCGCTGCCAGTATCAGGGTAAAATTGGGGGTAGGAATCTTGGGGCTGTGAGGTGCAGGGTGTAGTGCGCTGGGGCAAGAGCGGTTCCCCAGTACCTGTAGGTACTCGTATTTTGTACTATGTCTAGATGATCGAATTTCGCCGTTCTTGTGACGGCCACATGTGACGAAGAATGTCGGTCGTACATCTGAATATCTGCCTCAGATATTAGACTCTATGATATCATATGTGCCAATGCAGAACTGCTCAGGGATGATGCCCGGCCGACGCTAAAAGCTCCAACTCACCTCTCCTGTCTGTAATCCGAGCCTGCATCGCTGGTGGCTGGGAAACTCTAGGCACGTCCACCTGAGCATCCACTTTTCCTCGAGAGAGGGATGCAGGGGCATCAGAAAGGCCTCTGGCGGGGCTTCCAGATTGACATGCGGGGGGGAACTTACATCTATACACTCCTTTTTCGCCAGCTGCTGAACAACTGAGTGAGCATCTCCACTCAAGATTCTTTGCGAGGCTACGTGCGGAGAGCCTGCAACCGAGCTGCCAATGCGCTCTAGTGCGAAGCGTTGCTTTAGAGTGTCGTACGCTCATTAACTTCTTGAGACGTGGATTAAGTTTTCAGGATGAATCTAATCAAGCTAATTTCAGGAGCTTCCCAGCTCTCGGACCCTCGGGGATAAACTAGGTATGCGCGTGCTGCCACTACCAACATCATTTGCAGCAGTAGCAGTAGCAGCAGCAGCAGCGGCAGGAGAAACTGCTTCACAACTTGCAGATAGAAGTAGCATCCGTAAGACTTGTACCGGAAACACCGCTACGGCGCGACGCTGAAGCGGTTGAGCTAGACAGCAGAGGACATTCTCACCAAAGCCTTTGAGGCCTCAAAGTCTGAGGATTCTTTCCATTGGCATCTTGATTTATCACCTTTTGACTTTCAGCCAATGGACAACTCATCAAGCACGAGGCCCCTGAACCAAGGCTCCCTCCCTCAAACTTGAAGCTTCCAAGCATACAGCCCCTTAGCTTCTTGCGCTTTAAGACCATGGCATGTTTTCAGGGCAAGCATTGTTTTGATGATAGTCCACCAGCCCACCACTCAGCAAGCCTTAGCCTTCAAGCCTCAAAATCACCGCCCAAGCCCTTGAACCAATTCTGCGGACACCGAGGCCTCCAAAATGTGGCGCGGGAGCTCCAGCGTCGCTTAGAGGAGGAGTGCGCCAAGGTGTGGCGACTCAGTCAATGCCGTACTTCTAGATATCCGTATCATCAGTAGGGGCAGCGACCAGCGCCGTCATCATGACAGTAGTAGCAGTACTCGTAGAATGAGAAGAAGTGAAAGCAAAAGCTATAGAATATTGGCCGAGTTGGAGAGGTAGCAGTAGCCATGCGAGGACAGTTGGGATAATGTGTGCTTTACTTGTAGCGTGGGTTTGGTTTTCGATTGCTTGCGACCGTTTTCTCAACAGGGGATGTTTGCAGACGAGTACGTAGTTCTGATCACCAGGGCCGTTTTTGAGCTTGCATATTTGATCATGTTTGCAAGGGTTTGGGCTCTGAGGGCGTTATAGTTCAAGCAAAAGACGGTGTCCTTTGAGATCCCAATCTCAGAGCCCGAAAGTGCAGGCGAACGTCCTGCAAAAGACGATAGCGAACGCGATCAGCACCTCGGCTGGTAGCAAGCAAGCAGACACCAACGACAGTCGAGCTGCATCAATCGTCCAGATCCAAGGAGTCACGGACCCACGGCACAGGGACAAGAAACTTGGATAGGGCATCACACTATGAGAACAGAAGCTCTTGCATGCTGTGCAGACGTAAGCCGTGGCCGTGGATCACACAATTTCTGAAAGACATCTGTATGCATGCACTTCTGCCAGCCCTCGAGGTCATTACAATGGCAACCATGTGAAGTGACTTCAAAGACCTTCCAGATAACCTCAGATGAGTGCGGCGACTAAGGTCAGAATGCGGCGAGCAATGGCTTCCAGGCCCAAAAATGTTTTCAGCGACAGAGTTCCTAGTGTGTGATAACAGAGGTCTGGGGCTGGAGGCAGGTCTCAAAGAACGCAGCATATCGTACGTAATGATGGGGCTCTCAAGCCCTCCTGGGGGCCGGTAAACTGCTCCTTTGAAGGCAGGCTGCTTTCTTGATGATGCTGATCATTACTGTTCTGACGACGAGCCTTGGTTATTGTTCAAGTTACTCTCGGGAGGGTAGCGAAACGCTAGCGATTCACGGTACGTAGGACCATTGTTTCGGCCCAATGAAGTGGTCGATAGCCCTTTGGCATCAATCGCAATGTGCTCAGAACTGCTATGGCTGCTACTCTTCATCAGTGTTTCCCTCATACGTACTGGCATGATTCCTGGTGCTACAGTATGCGTACTGTACAGTATACTCGTACGAGTACCAGTACCTAGGAATCGTGCCACCGCACAACAGCTGCCTCAGCAGCAGCACAACTGCTGTTAATGCTATTGCTGCTGCTACTTCTGCGATTACTCGTGCCACGGCAATGGCTACAATTACTACTCAGAATATGAGTCAGTGCTGGCAATATCTCGGGAAGAGTCTTTATTGCAAAGCTAGACCTGAGCAGAGCTTATGAACAGAAGCCTGAAGTCAGAACTTGGCTGCGCTGACCGCAGCCATGATCAAAGCCTTGGGCAGGCAAGAGCAGTGCCCAGTTCTTGCGCAGGTGCTACATTCAGAGACTTAGAGTGGCAGCACTTGAACAAACTTGATCTTACACTGACCTCTAGCTGAACTGCTGAGTCAATGCAAACATTAGCGGTCCCAACTGTTGTGCAACTGAGGGGAGTATAATCCAAAGTCAAAGAAAGGCAAGGGTTGTGGCAATGAGCTTGCCGGCACAAGCAGACGAGCGCGCTGGCGCGGATGATGAAGCAGAGGATGTTGGACATCTAGAGGCGCGTTAGCACGTCTTAAATCACGGGTCTCTTAAAGACTGATCCGCACCCTATTTCTGCATTTTTAGAAGTGGAAGTCTCTGTGTTGGATCATGTTTCCCCAAAGGGAGTTAGTGGGTCCCCGCAGGGGGGTGTTCTGTTCGAGAGAAGTCTGGCCTGATTCATGTTGCTGTGCAGTCCCTTGCTGGTAAGAATCAATTCTGTTGTTTCTAATCAGCCCTTTGACCCCTTGCGGGGGCAAAGTGTCGTTTGTCTTTGGCTTTGCTATGTCTCAAGCAAAGCATGGCTGTGACAGGTCACGAGTGTTCACAAGAATCATCTTAGGCACCTCAATCTAAGCTGCGCCACAAGCCCAAGCCCTGTTCCAGAGTGCACAGGCAGCGCTCGATGAAATGCTTCGAGATGCAGATGCCTCGCCTGGGTCCAAGTCCGCACAATTACATTCCCCCCAAAATTCTACGGAGGCTTTTTGTGTCGGGTTCCATGTCAGTTTGGGGGAGCATAGGGGCTTAAGTTTTGGGCTTTGAGCTTCTTGCTTTGAGACATCGACCCCCTGACTTTAAGAAGCCAGTGCCCCAAACACTGGATATTTCCTGTGTGCATATGTTGGGTCTTTCGAGAGGATTGTTTGATCTTAGAGGTTAGTAATGGGGCGTCGAGCATCAGTATGGGGTATAATCAGAAAGCTAGGATATGAAATAGGTTCTGGGAACGGCGCAGTGGGGCCTCATGAGACTGTGACGGGCATGTGCGCAGGTGTTCAGATCCTGTCAGATTGCAGAAGCTAGCTGCTTCAGTTTCTTGTAGCCAGATGCAGCTAGAGGGATCAGCCTTGGCTGCTCTTCTTACCGCGTGGCCCGGGATGGTGTTTGGCAACAGAAAGCTCAGCATCAGGGTGCTTGTGCCCTAGGATCACCTTTCCGCATCTTTCCACCGATGCCGATGCCTGTTTTGAGTTCGGAGGATTCCTGTGGTCTCTGAGATGGCAGTAAACATGTCCAAACAAAGCATACTAGTTGAAGCCCTTGCCGTTCGTGAAGCACATGAGAGTTGCACCATCGTTCAAACAACAGGGCACGCACAGGCCCTGTCTCTAGGGTGTCTCGACACCACGCCTCTTGTTGCCTAGATGACCTCATGAAGAAGCGGAGTCAGCTCAAAAGACTGAAGTAGCCTCAGCGGCACGTCTGAGGCAGGGGGACTTCTATGACCTCGTTGCCCGCTTGCCGCAAACCAGGCTGCACAAAGTTCTTGAAGAAATAAGGGGACAGATGTGTAGGTGGATCTTGGCCAGAGTCCGCAAGAAAGCGCGCACGTGATTTGTCCAAGAGTGTCCAGCACCCTCCGGCATAGACGGCTGAAGTTTCATAAGCGCATAATGTTTAAACGGAAGCCCAGTTGCCCCATTCGTGGGTTGTAGGTATGGTAAAAAGTGCATGAGTGTATGTAGGGGGTTTCCGGGATAAAGCAAGGTTGCACTGCTGGGCCTGCGAATGGATCTCCCCAAAGCCAGGGGCGACTTGGCAGAGTGGTATGAGGATGTCTGAAAGTTGGTTTATATGTATTTGCGGGATGCGTGACCTATGTCACGGGTCTTCAGGTCATGGAGAACCAGAAGCATTGTTCCACAACGGGTGTATACTTTTACCAGAGGCTTGGCCATCAGCATAGACTTTACAGTCAAGAAAAGCGGGCATGCTTTACCGCTGCTGCTGCACAAATTCATCCGTGTATTTCCTGGAAACCCAGAGGCAGTAGTGCGTTGCACACCCTCCATGAGAAGTGTTCGTGGTGCGCACGTTTAGTGCGGATGCCTGGGTGATTTTGAGTCGCGCCCGCTATCGACTCTAGATTTTCAACCAGATAGGCCCCTAAGGCATGAACAGGGAATCCTGAACCTGGTAAGCGCTCCCGAGCTGCCCAAATACGAGTGCTCCAGTCCAGATCCTAGTGTCGCGAAAACGTTATCTTCTTGTGCCCATTTGACAAGTAGGACTCGGACCACCTTATTTGAACGTACAAGGGCATTCAGATTTCAAGGCAGCGCAGCACGCATACTCCCAAATTGATTGCCACAGCAAGCAAAGCCTCGCGAAATAAGAGGTTCTACAAAGCTGCAGCCTGGTTCCGAAGATCGGCGGCTCGCCAGAAACAGGTTCAGGGCTCACTCCGGACCCTGAACCAGGTGCCCGTGGAATTGGGCAGCATTGCATGCCGGGTATGTCACAGCTGGGTATAGGTACACTCGATGGCTTTTTGCACAGCAGCTTTGCGCATCCTTAGGTGGTTGGTGCTCTGAAAGTTGGGCCTCAACTCCAGGTGCTGATGTGCGGGGCTTTTAAGGCTTGACTGTCGTTCGGCAACATGTGACGCAGCGCGCCCAGAAGCTGTTGTGGCCTCTCATCGTAAGCCTCAGTCTGGGAAGCAAGCAATGCAAAAAAGGAGTGGTCTTGAATCTGTAGGCTTTAGATGAGCCATGACCATGGGAATGTAACTTGAAGTGTCAATAGCAGCTCTTGCCCGCGCAGTTTTAAACCTTGATCATGCGTATCTAGAAAAATTAACGAAGCCCCACAATCCCCAAGGTACTTCGAAGTATAACTTTTGCATGATCACAATAGAGAGCCTCATTTCCCTCGTAACCCCCATACACGACTAAGGCGATTCTTTTTTGAGTAGCTTCCTTGTATACCTACTACATGCCCGATATGTACCCTCAAGGGTCCCTAGACCTAAACCCTAAACCGCGTCCCCCTAAACGGTCTAAGGGCTCATATTCCAGCTAAGGAGCCATGGGCCTCCTTGGCAGCCGCCTCAAGGCCTTAGGCGCCGAAGTGGTGCTCAGCGTCGGCAGTGCCCTGGACGAATTGGTTTTTGGGGCGATACAGGGATTATTCATGGGATTAGGGTTTAGGGTTTAGGAGTCAGGGATTATTCATAGCACTGATAGATATTGACAGCACATGACATGGAGTAGAGAGGTCACATAGGGAGTGCATTCGGGATAGATGGGAGTAGAGGGGGTCATATGGACCGGTCATATGTAGCCGAGGTATGTGGGGATTGGATGTACTGGGGTACACGGGCCCATGTGTAGAGGGTTAATTGAGAATTTATGAAGCGGCTATCTTTTGGTGTGCCTTGCCCGGCATTTGGGAGCTTAATGGAGAACATAAGTCAGACAGCTCATACCCTTGAAAGTCCTTGCCATCTCGGTGAGCTAACAACACTCATGCCCGGCCCTGCTGTCGAGAGACCGCATGTGCGATTTCGGGTTGAAGCGTGTGCCCTAAACTTCAGCAAGCAAGTGGTCTCAGAGAAGGGAAAGCATATCTCATCTGGGATTCTTCTTGTTTCGTGATGCAAAAAATCCAGGCTACAGGTCTTCCTGTGATAAACTTCTAGAGCAGGGGTATGATATTCGGGTAAATCATCAACCCTAAGCCCGAATTCTGGGCTGTACCCGTCTAAGTAGTCTACTCCGCATGCAGAAACGAATGTTTCTGAACCGATGACACCCTGCCAAATTTACTGGATAAATTGGAGAGAGTGAGTCACCAGCAATGGAAAGCTGGGCAGGATGGAACATCTGAATCTTTGTGAACCTAACTTCTTCCCCATGGAAGCAGCTTTTGACGCTTGAGGTGGCTCTGGGCTGATTGAGTGGCTGCTGTCGCCTCGGTTTCCAGCTGCTGGGCCTCTCATACTACAAAACAGGGGTCTTCCTGACTGCATCGCCGCCGCCACCCCTGGCCGCCACCACCACCGCCACCAGCAGCACCAGCACCAGCACCACACCGCAATCAGACCACAACCACCGAGGCCGCCACCCCAGCACGGCCGCCGCCGTAACCACCGCACCACGACCACCTCCACCACCTCCCACAAGCACCGTTGCGCTTCCAGTTTGCTTGTGGTCCTGGGGCTGGTGCTGATGTTGATATTGTCGTCGCCAGCGGGGGCGGAAGCGCTGGTGATGGTACTTTCTTTTGCTCTACGGTCAAACATCACTGCATCATAATTTTGGGCCGAGTTGGAAAACCAGTAAATTCAAGGAGGCCTTATCGTGGCAATTTTCCTCTTTGGGTTTTGGTCCTTTTAGGAGGCTCATGCCAAGGTCGTTTGTGTCGATTACTACTACAGGCCCAGCGCGACAGGCCACTCGGCGGCTCCTGGAAGGTGGCCCTAAACATGACTTTCACAGGGAGGGTGAATTCTTCATCCACAAATGGCAGCAGGACCCCAGCGAGTTTGTATGTGCTTCAGTAGAGATTGGGGGGGGCATATCCGAAGGCCTTGTAGCCTGCTCAAGACAGCATAAGACAGCTAAATCGTCGTGCGTCCTTGAGGTGATGTAGACTCCTGGGTCCTGGCGCCTCTCCACGATGACTTGAGACGTCAGCTGGCGCAAGTAAATATGCAACAAGTTGAGCTCCCGGTGCGGTGAGTTCCCATGCATTAGGAGACCGGCCAGTTTGTTCTGTTCCCTTTTTTGTGCAGTGCCTAGCTGACTACCTTAAAAGCAGTCTGCCTACAACAGCTACGCTGAAGCCTGGGGCCCTGCAACACCAAGACAGCCACCATTTTCAGCAACTGCCAGGCGAATAGGACTGCCAGCTAACCCGATTGGGGATTCTGGGGCCTAGTGAATCGAAGGAGTCATTCGCCCTTGGCGGTCATTAGCAGGACTATCGAACAGCAACAAAAAATGAGGCTCGTGGAACGAAGATGACACTCGACTGTCCTTCGCAACTTGTCTGCTTCTGGATAGCTGACTGAGCTTCGGGCTGAAGGTTCTGAGCAAAGGCTTGCATTTCCAACATGGATCAGCTGGATCCGGCCTTGCTGGTGATGCTTCAAGGTGCTTCTTTGATTTTTTGGTGTCTGGTGTTCCATAGGTGACCCTGAAAAATAATTTGCTGACGTAACGATCGAGGTGCCGGATTCAGTTGCAGAGGGGTACTACAGTCTACACTAGCAGAACTTCTTGCGGATCACCTTTTCCTTAGACACCCTTTCAACTTCAAACAAGGGTGCTGCTCGCCTTGCCGATTACCGGATTTTGCTTTAGCAAGTTTTCACGATGCAGGGTCGGGATGCGGGGCTTCTTCTTTTATCTTCCACCTTATGAAGTGGATGCAGGCTAGTGGATTGATTTGGTTTATATGGACTTGTGCATGGTGCTTCTGCCAAAGCAGTCTAGCTTGCAATAGACATTGTTTGTCATCTAGGGCCAAATGGTCTAGCTTGGCTTGAGCAACAGGTCACCGGGAGACCAAGCCTATCCGAATCATGAAAACGCTTGTCGCCAAACCGCTGTCGGTAACATGAGGCTGAGATCCTGATGAGTAGATCAACAGAAAGGCGCCGAAGGAGAGCGTGATGATCAACCCTGAAGTGCGTATACCAGGGGTCGCAATCTACGTGGTTACAAGACTAGAGGTGTAAGCAGCTTCAAGCATCTACCTGAAGCAAGGTCAAGCCTGGCGACGAGCCTTGGATCTCCAAAGACTCTGCCATTCGGTTGGGTTCCGTTTGTGTTCCTTACCCGGAGAGTCCATGACGAGTCTGTTTGAAGCCTTCGGCTGTATACTTCAGAGGTGTAGATTGCACCTCAGCCATGCTTTGACAGGATTTATCGCGCCACTACGGCAAGAGGTTTGAAAAAGACATTGAGGCGTGTGCTTGTTGTTGAGCGCCGCTTCCTTTACGGGTCCTTGACAGCTGGCAAACACTTTCCTGTTCTGGGTCAGAATGATGACAGCGGAGGAACCACGAAGCACCGCATCATCTTAGCATCAGACAGCGGCATGCCGTGCAGTTGCCCAGCGGCATAGTGGCATCTGCTACAAAGCCTCAGAAGCAGCTAGATGCGTATGCCATGCAGCCCCTCCTTCTTGGTCCTCAAGGAGCTGGTAAATTCCAGAACGTATACTGATACTTCACACAGCTCCCTTGTCAGTGGGTTTGATAGGTGTTTTGTTTTGGCCTCAGGACTCTGCTCTACAAAAGGTGCTCAACAGCCGGCGCACAGCGGCGCTTTTCGTTTGGCCACAGTGCGGGCACCAAGGGGCAAACTGATGTACTGTTGATGGAGAACATCTGTCACTTCACCACTACATACCTCACATCTTAGATAATATCTTAAGATGTTCTTTGCTTGCGGCACCTTGGGTGGTGCAAGCTTCCCACAAAACTCTCCTACCGGGGCGCTCCTACAGGGCAGGTCTATACTACGCTTCTCAGAAGGAGTAGCAGAGTCTTGGAGGGCGCTCGACGCCTTAGTCCAAACCTTCAGATTTCGCTCGAGGCAGTCCAAGATCCAGAAAAGGGATCCATGACGTTGGTAGGGTTCCTCAACTGGAGGGAGTTCGTAATGGTTTGTAGCGGACTGACTTTTTTGAGTGATGAAGAGTGGTGGATTCAGGGGTCATTTTGCCACAGACGGCTGGAAGCGTCCCATGAGCTTAGCAAAAGTTTAACGTCCAAAGCTTCAAGCTTCCCAAGCTCGCTGAAATATTCCAAAGGCTTTGCCCATCCCTGCTCTGAAAGAATGATGAAGACTCACCAGGATTTCCGTCCATCAAGTGTGCACAATCCTTATCCCTCTCCAGCGCCAACGCACACACATCAGCACTAAAAAGCCTGCTGGGCTGACTCCTTGTGACGCCCTTTCCGGAGAGCCTGTACTTTGCGATCTTTGCGCCCCAAGGCTGGACCTGACCTCCCTCCAAAGCTACGCCCTGGCGGTTGGAAGCAGCCTCTGCGGCATGGTCTTCGTGGTCGGAGAGAACTGCTCCTTGCTTGGTTTAGCAGGTTTTGGTTTTCCGTGGCTTAACTTAAACGTTTCAAGAAACGTTAGGGGTGCTGGGTTAATAGTAGGTTTGGCTTTTTGCAGCAAGCTCGGAGAAGAAGTCTACCGAGTCGCATATGTCATACGCGCGCCGTGCCTTTGGTTGTTTGTGCAGGCCGAGAAATCAAACCCAGTCTCCTCATCTCTTCAGGCTTTAAGCCAATGGGAGTCTTCGGGAATATGGCCTCGTGGGAAGCATGGCAGTGTAGGCTTCTGCGGGGTAGCTTTCCAAATAATCAAGAAGATGAGGAAGGCTTCTTACCAATTCGCGTCAAACTTGGGATTCCCAACAAGATGGCCTCTCCAGAAAACTCATTTTCCTGCACATCCGAAGCAAAACTGAGGCTCGCCTTCGCCTGTCGCAGCTGCCGCGGCCTTCAACTGCGATGTGGGTGAGTCTGAGGAGGCTTCTGAGCCCCCTAAACCCTAAACCCTAACGCCTTAAGTTTTTTAGGGTTGCGGTTGGGGGGAGGTCTCATAAATTACAGTTGGCTATGCTTTTTTTCTGGTACGAGGATGCCCCCCTTAACCTCTGGCTGCACAATGCACAAAACTTAGCAGGATGATGTAGGGTTTTGTGGGTTGCCACTGTAGCTCTGGAATGAAGATTTGCGTGGCTCACGCGTTCCCTCTCTCGCATATGCCTAAACTAGAGTGCTCCCTGCTCTTCATGCCGCCTTTCAATGCACAGCTTGCTGAGGGCAGGGAGTGCGTAGACCACCCACCCATAGAGGGCTTATGTCCACAGACAGAGGAAGGTTTCTTTCCGAGGCCTTTTGACACGTCTTTTTTGTTGGGGTTTGCAGTCGATGGTCCGCAACAGAGGTAGTTTCGCGCCGCATTTGCATGATAGTCTTTAACAAGTTTACAGCAGAGACAGTAATGATCACTAATGCTGGGATGGCATTCCTTCGGAAACTCCTGCCCTTCTTTGCAGGTTCCTTGCCTCACGCAGCCCTGTCAGCTGACGAGTTTCGCCATGACGGCGACCTGCGATGAGCAAAATGATCTGCAGGATAGTTTTAGGAGCTGCTTTTTTGGCCATGCGCACGCGATGTCTGCTTAGATGACCTGCCTCCTCATGAGGTTGGCTAGTGCCCCAGCCCTTAGCACAAAGCACTTGTTGGAGAAGACTCTAAGAGGCTTTACGCTGCCAATGCCTTGTCTGCAAAGATCAGCTGACCAGCCCTAAACAAGTGTCCCAGCCCTTATTCAGGCAAGTTATTGACATCGTCGCACCTTCCTTCAGACTCTGTTTCTGTTTGCATTGGCCTATAAGGGATGCACAACCTGAAGCCATCACGAGCTGTTCAGGTCTCTTTGAGGGGCCACCATCATGGACAACCTATTATTCTGGTGTGGCAAGTGTTCGGCCCCTGCATGTTTGAGAACCCTTGCATATTCCCGCCTTTTCAACTCATTGAGTACTTGGAAGAACTTCATATCACGTTGCAGACGCTATTGCAGCTAATTTTACTGCAGGCTCCGGACATCATGTCCAAGCCCGGGTCCGCGAGGCTTTTGCCTCGGCAGGAATCCAGGTTCTCAAGAGATTGCGTTCCGGTTTTGATGGCTTGGAAATGTTAATGTGTTTCTGTTAAGTGCACAAAGGGGGTGGAAAAGCTAACTGCATGTCGGTGGGCCGGAAATAGTTTTGAGCTGAGGAGGGAGTTACTTCTCGTTTTCTTGCATCGAGAAAATGAAGGTCCTCCACCTTGAACGCATGTATCCAAGCTACCAGTCCTGATTCTTCTAAGTCGACGCCGACCTGCTGGACCGCCTTCCCACGGCGCAGGGGCGCCAGAGAAGGCCCCACTGGAGTTTCTGTTTCGCGCAAGGCTCACCAGATGCGAATAGCGGTTCCACTAAGATAGTATTCGTGTAGCATGGAGCAGCAAGGAGATAGTTTGAAATTTCAATTGTTGATTGTAGACCGGGCTCAGAAGGCGGTATGAAGGTACTGGGGTTGAGGGAAAATGTTATGCGAAACTGATCAAGACCCCCTGTGCACCACATCTCACAGGCTCTTTTCGCTTGGATTTCTCTTTAGGTCTATACCCGAAGACCGTGTGCCATTGTACCATGGTTGGCTTTAAGATGTTGACACATGTAGTGCTTCGGATCTACTGGCTTTTGCGAAGTGCAGGCTGTTCGATAATCAGTTCATAGCTCCGGGGTCAGAACGTCCCGAGATGCGGATTGCTACTTGAGGTCGTCAGACTCCAGCTCCACGTGCATCTCTTTGAATATGTTGTGCTTGCTTGGGAAGATTAATTGTTACGTAGGTGTGGAGGGCTTTATGACATGCGCCTAGAATGAGTTGTTTGGGATGTTGGCACAGACCTCTGCTTTTCAGCTCTTTCTATCACGTTCTGGGCTCTGCGCAATCTGGGGATGCTTGAGGCTTGCCCCGCTCGTCAGCACTTACTAGCGCAGCTATCCGTCTTACGTTGTGAGAAAGACGCCTCGCTGTCTGCCCAACAATAAGCATGCCGCAGCATTTTCGTCTTATGACACGTCGTCTATGCCGAAGCAAAAGCGCCCGTGATGTCCGGGCAAACTCTGGACGCTCGAGGCTTGATGCCCTATAAACCTTGCACGGTAGGAGCCCTACAAGAGTAACCGCATCCTTACGATGGGAAGTGCAACTCTGCTGTTTGAATGGCTGAGCTTACATTGACATGGCCTCCAGGCTGCTCAATAATTACGAGACTCACGCCCGTATTCATTCAGAATCAAGAGGCATAGATACGCACATACATGCATACATATACACACGCACACGCAACAGAAAATCTCAGAGACCCTCTCACAAGCCGTGCCGAGCTTGAAACCCCAAAAGCACAGGGCGACGAGTCAAGAGACTCGCAAGACAAGGCGGAAAAGGACGACGTCGATGTTCGCGCAAGGCTGGCGAAGGGCTTTCTGCAGGACTTGGGAGGAAGTTTGAATTCTGAAGCTGCGGAGTGTTTTGGCAGCTGCAAAGATAGCCCTATGCAATACAAGAGTTGTGCTGCAGAGGCAGACTGGCCAGGACGTAACATCCTAGGTGCCACGGGGCTACTTGGACATAGCAGGCAAGTGTAACCGGAGATCACAAGAAGCGCTGGCTGTGCCTTGACTAAGCGGTCCCTATTTGGGTGATAGAGGCGTCTCCACTCATCTATGTTTAAACGCACGACCTTCAAGGCACCCTCGGCCGCACTTTTCCAGCGGCGTGAAGCGCGCACCTCAGTCCCGCGTCTCAGGGCGTGAGTTGTAGTCCCTTGCATGGCTTGTCAAACGTTATCCCAGAAACACCTTTCTCGACTAGCATGATTACCCGCAACCTTTGGATTCGCAGAATCCAATTGGAATTGCAGATGTTTGAGTTGCAGGGCTTGGGGAGTTCAGCATCTTGACCTTTAAGGGGCTGCAGTTTGATGACTTTGGGGGCTAAAGGTCAAGAGGCTTCAAGTGGTTTAGGTTGTGCGGGCATTTGTGGGACTAGGACGGTTTTAGTTTTCGAGTGTGAGGGTTCTGGGAATTAGGGGTTTAGGAATCTGCGGCTTGTAGGTTTCTGGGTGAAAGAGAGTTTTGGAGATTAGAGGTAAACATAGGGTCTTCAGAGTTGAGAAGTTTTGAGGGTCTGGGTGTTTAAGGGCAGGCGTTGGCTGTTTTGGGCCCTTGGCATAGGGGGGTTTGAGCTCAGGGATTGCAGGGTTTGGGGGATTCAGGGGTCAGCGCCTTTAGGGTTTAGATGTCTCATGGCCTGAAGGGTTCAGCATTTCAAGGTGTAGGGGTTTTAGCCCGCACTTGCTTCCTGCTTCAAACGTTCACCTATCTGCGCCCACTACCAATAGCTGCTCATGTGAGTTTGCGGGCTTGGGGGGGGTGCAGTAAGAACGTACAAGAAATAGTTGACGTTCATTGGGAACTTCGAAGCCTCACGGATTTCTGGGAACGGGAAGTGTAGGCAGATGATTTTTGTAACCAACCCCAAACACTCGGACCTGGCAACTTCCAAAGGACCTGGTTTAGGTCCTTCTCTCCGCGTTGGGGTTGGAAAACTCATATGTAATCCCAATGCCACAGTCTGGAGCTTCCCTGCATGGCCTGTGCGTTCTTGGTGCTTTGGCCCGGTCAGGTGTGAAACTGGTAGACCCAGACACACCCTCGGACTCCATAATAGTTGATAATTATACTTGACCTCCAATTCCTAAGCCCCCTAAAATCCTGAACGCTGAACGCCAAGGAACGCCGGCTTAGAAACTCTGCCTGAGGATCCGGAATCTGCAAATTCTCTGACCCTGCACTGGGGCTTAGTATTCAGGACGTTTAGGGGGATGTGATCAGATATGTCTCAATGAGCTCTGGGAATTAAATGCCGGTTCATGTGTTCTGCAATTGCTAGTTCTAGTATCCTTGTCTTGCAGTTTGAAGACTTTGCAGGGTGTGACTTATCAACATCGAGGCATCTGCACGCGGTGACTTGTGGCATCCGGGGCCTTGAGCTTGTTGCTTGAGCAGTCTTGCGCGTTTCTGCACCATACCTTGAGCTGCCATGCAGGCACAATTCTGTTTTTGTCTTTCATCCAGTATGGGAACATTGTGGGTGCTGGCCGAGAGAAGTAGTTAGACCGCTGAAGGTCCTTTCGCCGCTGATATCTTTGTGCAGGGACTGCGTCTTGTCTACGAAACACTGGGCTTCTCGGTACACAGCTGTACATACATGGTATAACGGACTCACTCTGCAGCTGCAGTACCCGCTGTCTATAGACGCTAGGCCTTTAGCACGGGAAAGCCAGGAGGGCGAGGCGGAAGACGAGTCCCCCTCGCGGGGGGCGGGCGAGGACGCTGGTCTCAGCTTCCAGATAGAACGGCCTGAATAACAAGAGTAGGGCTGTTGTGTAAGTGTCACGCGCGCTGGCATATCACAAGCCCAAACTTCAAAAAGGTTTGCAAGCACACTCGATCTTAAAGCTTGAGGTGGGTGATGAAATAAGATTCCTGGTGCTACCGCCTCCACTGCTACCGCCACCACGCACCACCGCCACTACTGCCACCACCGCTACCCCCACCACCCCTATCGCGGCCCCGGCCGCCGCCGCCACCACCAACACCGCCACCACTCCTGCCTTCACCTTGTTCTGCCCTTTGATGGTTGGAGCCTACTATGTGCAGCAGTGCTCCCAGTTTTCAGTGGAGAAGGAAGAATTGAAAGTAGAGATTAGACACACACGTGCAAGTACAAAAAGTGTTTGTTTGCTTCTTGTCAAGTCAACCGTGCAGCATGCAGCTGCTTGTGGGAAGTAGCATAGAACGCATTGTGAGGGTGTGTTTCCCAGCCAGTTCAGCCACGAGAGCTGAATCACTCTGCAGATATCCCCAAATGTCACCTCGATTTGGCCGGAACCAGAATTACACAAACCACAAGCTCCTCCACTTTGAATCGCACCTTCCTCACTTCACAGGATGGAGAGGACGGCCCCAGGTGCGGCCAGCCCTAGCTGAAACGAAAGCGAGAGCTGATCTCATCGGATCCCTACAGGGTTCAGACCAAGTTCATAGGCGGTTCTAGACGGGATTTTGGAAACAATAGTTGAAGCATTTCTGTGCGGGGTATGTTTTTGTGTGTATACATGTATGCGTATGTATGTGTGTGTATGTATGTATGTATGTATGTACGTACATGCAGGATCCAGGTCATAGGTGAAGGGTACTTGTCGGTGTGGCTGTCATCCCACAAGCATGACGTGAAAGCTAGCAAGCCTCCCACTGTTGCTGCTAGCATAAACTGGTGTATGGGGATTGAGGAGGGTTGAGTAGCATTGGCACTTAAAGATTGGAAGGGCATAGGCTGGAGAATGGAGATGACATCGTCAGAGCGGCTTGGGAGAAGCCGATGCTGGCCAATACATTCGCCAAAAGGGATCCGAATCATGACGCCTTGCCGCTGCCAACGTCAGCTTCTGATGGTTAGGCACAGAGCCACAAGAATGTGCTATCTAGGGGCAGAT